TATTATAGAAATAGAAAAGAAATCCCTTAAAGTGACTAGCTGTCGTCCAGTGACAGTATAGAACTGACTCCCTTACAAGCTCTAACATGGCACTGCGCTTCTCACCTCCCAGGAAGAAGCTGGCCCAGCGTCTGCAGGATGCAGAGGAACATGTTGAGGCTGTCAATGCCAAATGTGCCTCCCTGGAAAAGACAAAGCAGAGGCTGCAGAATGAAGTGGAGGACCTGATGATTGATGTGGAGAGATCCAATGCTGCCTGTGCTGCTCTGGATAAGAAGCAGAAGAACTTTGACAAGGTCTTTTGGCCTCCAGCACCAGCACTCCTGGCCAGAGCATGCCCCTGTGATGGCCACAGCCCGACTCACACCCCGTTTCTCTTCAGATCCTGGCAGAATGGAAGCAGAAGTATGAGGAAACACAGGCTGAGCTGGAGGCCTCGCAGAAGGAGTCGCGCTCTCTGAGCACGGAGCTGTTCAAGATGAAGAATGCCTATGAGGAGTCCTTGGACCACCTGGAAACAATGAAGCGGGAGAACAAGAACTTGCAGCGTAAGTCCCTGGCCCTCTGCTCCCCTCGCTGGCCTTTCTCACCATCAGCCATGACCACCATTCATGGGTCTGTGCCTGCAGATCTGCAGAGGTGCCTGTCACCTTTGTGAGACAGGATCCTTCCCATTCAGCTCTGTGCCTGACCATGCCATTGATCTTTGTTCCCACAGAGGAGATTTCCGACCTCACGGAGCAGATTGCAGAAGGAGGGAAGGCAATTCATGAGCTGGAGAAAGTGAAGAAGCAGATTGAGCAGGAGAAATCTGAAATCCAGGCTGCTCTGGAGGAAGCTGAGGTACATGACCATAATCACTGGAATCTGCAATAAATAAATGAGGAAATAGGGCTGAAAAGGCTTGGATTCCCCTCTGTACTACCTGGGGAGTGCAGACAGCTGAGATTTCTGGAAATATTTTGCTGTTCCCTAGAATGTAAGAAGAATGTTTAACAATGTTATCAATGTTTGCATCCACTCTTCCAGGCCTCCCTGGAACATGAGGAGGGGAAGATCCTGCGCCTGCAGCTTGAGCTCAACCAAGTGAAGTCTGAGATTGACAGGAAGATAGCAGAGAAAGATGAGGAGATTGACCAGCTGAAGAGGAACCACCTCAGAATTGTGGACTCCATGCAGAGCACTCTGGATGCTGAGATCAGGAGCAGGAATGAAGCCCTTAGGCTGAAGAAGAAGATGGAGGGAGACCTGAATGAGATGGAGATTCAGCTGAGCCATGCCAACCGTGTGGCTGCAGAGGCACAGAAGAACCTGAGAAATACACAGGGAGTACTCAAGGTATGTTACACTAAAAATAAGAGCTTATGGGTTTACTTTGTCCAATACTGGCTTTGCTGCAGTCCTCTTGATACATTCCAGTCCCTCAATAACTTTCCTTAATTGAAGAGTCCTGGACTGCATGCAATACTCAGTTTGTGGCCACACAAAAACTTAATAAACAAGAATTCAGCTCCAGCTCTGCCTTGGCTTTCATAATCATATCCCCTCACATCCTGGCAGCATCTCCATAGTCTTCTGAGGACATTTGGTGTTTGTTCTACCACCTGTGCATTTCCTTCTTACACTTCAGTTTGTCCTGAAGGTCCTTGGTCAGCCATGCTGATCTCCTGCCTCTCTTGTCTGATTGCTTACACATGTGAACTGAGAGGTTTTGTGCTCTAGAAAAAAATGTTCTTATCTCTTTTTCTTCTTTATTCTTGAGGAGAGATTCTCAAGGGGGTTCCATCCAAAAATTCCTTGAACAACTTAAGTCCACTCTCCTAAAATTCAGGGACTTGGCCTTACTCTTCAGCTGTCCCAGATGCCCGTGAATCAATCTCCTAGTGGCTTTTCTAAGATACTGTGCATTAAGTGACAATAAATCCACATATAAATTTATACTTATATATATTATAATGCCATCATAACTATAGGACTGGTGGCTATTGTGCTACAGTGCTATGTCATCTTATAATTTCTCTTTATTCTATTAAAGGACACCCAGATCCACCTGGATGATGCTCTCAGGACACAGGATGACCTGAAGGAGCAGGTGGCCATGGTGGAGCGCAGAGCAAACCTGCTGCAGGCTGAAGTTGAGGAGCTCCGGGCAGCCCTGGAGCAGACGGAGAGGTCAAGGAAAGTGGCTGAGCAGGAGCTTCTGGATGCAAGTGAGAGAGTTCAGCTCCTCCACACCCAGGTTAGATTAAAATCTCATGGGCCTTTTTTTTCCCTTGCAGATTTTACTCTGTGTAAATTCCTAAATCAACTCCTGTAATAAAATACTTTATCAGAACCAGAATTATTGCACTTGTAGAAAGAAATGGATTATGGCAAAATGAGTACGACTGCATTAGCAATCAGAAGAGCGGCTTCAAAGTACAATAATTCTCTGCTATCTAGCTGTGTATGACCTGACAAGATACATCAGGAAGATGCTGAAGTAAATTTTTTTAAAAATTGTTCTCTTTTGGAAATAACTGCACAAAATTGTACTGTTCAACAGAACACCAGCCTGATCAACACCAAGAAGAAGCTGGAAACGGACATTTCCCAGATCCAGAGTGAAATGGAGGATACCATCCAGGAAGCCCGCAATGCTGAGGAGAAGGCCAAGAAGGCCATCACAGATGTGAGTTGGGTGCTTCTGGCATTGCTGATGGTGAATGTACCATCCCTAAAATATCTCCAGTCCCAAAATGGCTTTGACCTTTCATTCTGATCAGGCTGCCATGATGGCAGAAGAGCTGAAGAAGGAGCAGGACACCAGTGCCCACCTGGAGAGGATGAAGAAGAACCTGGACCAGACAGTGAAGGACCTGCAGCTTCGTCTGGAGGAGGCCGAGCAGCTGGCACTGAAGGGAGGGAAGAAGCAGATCCAGAAGCTGGAGGCCAGGGTGTGTAGGGCTGGGGGTGTGCCTGAGTGAGCGTGTCCTTGCAGAGACATTGTCAGGGAAGCTGCAGGGATGGGTTTGTCCTTGCAGGTGCGGGAGCTGGAAGGGGAGGTTGATGCTGAGCAGAAGCGCAGCGCTGAAGCCGTGAAGGGCGTGCGCAAGTACGAGCGGAGGGTGAAGGAACTGACCTACCAGGTAAGGCAGGAGGGCTCCTTGGGCTGATGCACCCTGATTCGATCAAACAAAAGATGTTCTCATGGACTCCAAGGATAAATGCTATATTGTGGTGTGCAGAATGCAATAACTTACTCTTCCCACCTTGCCAACACTGCAGTCTGAGGAAGACAGGAAGAATATTCTCAGGCTGCAGGATCTGGTGGACAAGCTGCAAATGAAAGTGAAATCCTACAAGAGACAAGCTGAGGAAGCTGTGAGTATTGCTTGGGGAAATAAAAAAGCATCTCTTCCTGCGGGTGTCACACAGGTGTCCCAGAGAGGAATATCAGAAATTTTGAAAATCATCAGCTGAGGAGGGGGATTTTGTAATCCTGGTATACCCACACCCCCACACCCCCCGACCCAGCACCTGAGCAGCAAACAAGTGGGGGAATAAGTACAGAAATGACAAATTGAAGGGGTGACACAGTCCTGGTGAAGCTTGTCCCAGTAGGATCCTGAAAAGGGGAGGATGAGGAGCTCTGTGTGAAGCTGATGTGTGAGCACTGGTGGGAGGGGGATGGAGAGTTGCAGCCCCATAAGGCTGACTTGCAGCAGGAGTGAAACCCTTGTCCTGTGCTCCTGAGCCCTGACTCCCTTTCCCCACACAGGAGGAGCTGTCCAATGTGAACCTCTCCAAGTTCCGCAAGATCCAGCACGAGCTGGAGGAAGCCGAGGAGCGGGCTGACATTGCAGAGTCACAGGTCAACAAGCTCCGAGCCAAGAGCCGGGAGATTCATAGCAAAAAAATAGGAGAGGAAGAGTGAGGATGTCACGAGGCAGTAAAGTGAACTGAGGGATGCACAAAATGTGAACCCTCTGTCACTTCCTTCTTCAAGTGTTCATAACCATGTTGATATGTAGAGAATAAAGACCTTAGATTTCTTCGCATTCACAACAGAATCAGTGATTTTGGTCATTACAATCCTGCAGTTACATAAATTTGGGGTATTTTCAAATTAAATATTTATTTCACTTTAACACTTGCATAACAGTAGAGCTTTACTTATCCCATCTTTAGTACTTCTCCACTGTGTGTTGTTCCACTAATTTCCATACTGAGAGAGGATCAGGTCAATGGCAAGACAAGCATGTTTTTTGTCCTGGTATAAAAAAGTTTTTGCCTTGTGAGTCATGTTTCTACATGGGTACAATACTCAGAGGTTCTCATTGATGCTCCCATTATCACTTGGGCAAGTGGTATTTAGAGGTAAATTGCCCCAAGGGAAAACATCTGTAGTCCCAAAAGCATCTGTATGTCTCTGAGACTTTATGGAGGAACTTAGGCAAGAACTGATGTGCTGCCTTAGAAGAAGGCAAGTGAAGGCCAGTAACTCTAGAGAGTGGCTTGTAACTGAAAAAATTTAAAGGTCATACAGCCTTGTTAATAACTTTATGAATATGATGTTAAAAATCAGTTTCAAAGGAAAACAATATATTATTTGGATAAGATGATATTGGAATGCCTTAACATCCTCTGCAAGGCAGAATAGCCAATATTAATACGAGATATTCCTGTTGTAAATGAAATTTGACTTAATGAACAGGTTGGTAGAAGTGTGAACAAGAGTTTAAAACCCAAGCAGTGTAACATGTAGAGCCACCAGAAAAAGCTGGGAACAGCTGCACTACTGTATAGTGTTTCCAGTACTGAAATATATGAGCTTTTGTGCTAAGGAAGAATTAAGAGTAATATACAAATACAAAAAGCTAAAAAAGATGGTTTTCATCATGCAAAATAAGTCTTCAAGTGGATATAATACTGAGAACATTACAACTTGAAAGAAATCATAAAATCTAACACCTTACAGAGGTAAAAATCCATAGATAATAATGACAAACTGTGTCCTACCTGTCTGACTCTTGCAGCACTGGACAAGTGGAATGTAGATACCAACTGTGTTTGGGCTGGACAGAGAAGAAACAAGACATCTACACAAGGTGCACTGGTCTGAAGTCCTAACAAATGGCAGGCTGTTTCCTGCAAGGCAAGAAGCAGTACTTAAAATAGGGAACCACCATATATATATATACATATATATATATATATAAAATAGTAGTACTGGACCCAGGCACATCACATAACAGCCATGGGAAGATTCTACATGCAGATATCCTTTTACTACTGTAAAGAAGACTTGGCTGCATCACACTACAGGAACATTTGTGGGTTCCTCAAGGTTGCTGGCTAGGTCTACACCTCTTTATTTACAGGGAGTGCTTCACAGGAGCTGTGAAACTACTGGGGAATGGAGTTGTAGGAAAGGAGATGGTGAGAAAACAGAGGGAAGGAAACCCTTTGCACTAACCACAGCAATCAGTGTGTTTGCAGCAACAGTGTTCAGGATTGGGAGGTCCTCCTCCTCCCAAACACACAGGTTTACACCCAAGGAATCCTCCTATGTTACAGCTAAATATGGAAGTAGTTTTCTAGGCAGCAGTGAAATATATTTAAGGAAAAGATGACACCCTGTGTTGACTCTTGTGTCACTGTAAGTGATGCTCTTTAGAGACATCATCTCTATGTGTGAAGCTGTGAAAACTTCATCAGTGCCAGTGGTACCTGAGCAACAAAGAAGGGAAATGACTCCTCTCCTTTTCCCTTCCCACGATATTCTCCTAAGATATAGGTGGTATTCTTTCTTTCCAGACAAATCCTTACCTGCCATACCTTGAAAGAAAGAGGAGAATTTTGTTTGTTCTAAAGAACATATTTCTTTAAACAAACAAACCCACAAACAACCCCAAAAACATAATTCAAAAATCAGTGTATTGCAACTGTGGCTTAGTGAAAACGGAGAAGTATTTCCAGCTCCACCTGTACCTCTTTAAACCTGCTGACAGACTAGCAAATTCCACAGCAACTTTGGGGACCGTATTTCTATGCCAAAACTCCCTGTTCCCTTTGGAAAATATCACAATCACCCTCCAAAATTAACAAGCTGCTCTGGCTGTGGAACAATCAGGGTGCACTGGAAGCACCTGAAACTGTTGGGGCTCCTCTCTCACCTGTAAGAAATTATGGCCTGAGGGTTTGTTCCTAAATGCTCAACTGACGAAAGGCAACATTGCAGGTTCCTGAAGAGACAACACCTGGGGCCAGAATTCCAACTGCACAGGTGGGAGAGGGAGAGAAATCACACACCTGGCACTGTGCTGACCTGGCCTTGCCATTGGCCATCCTGGAAAGCATGGCTGGAGACTTTTTGGAATCAGAGGGGCATATTAAAGGGGTGAGTAAGGAAAACCAATTTCTCCTCACTTCTGATTTGCTGCCTTGCCTGGAGGACAGGAGTCGTTTTGCATCAACACACTATTTCTGGAGTCAGGCTGCTTGTGATCTGAAATGTGCTGATGCACAGGTAACTGATCTTGAAGGAGCATGGGCCCATAACTGGCTGAAAGAAACAGCTCTCAGAGAAGGTTTAAAATAGTTGCAGCTGATGAGCTCCACTAGAGCTGCTGCCCCATGTGGCCTGTGGAGTTCTCTGACCTTCAACAGCTTGGGCATGGACAACTGTGTCTCCTGGGCACAAAAGCATCAGCACTTTAAGTAGCACTAAGACATTATGTGTGGGTCATACCTCATCAACCTTTCTTTTTCTTTTCTCAGTACAAGCTGGTATTTTTTTCTTTCTAATACTAAACTTTGAACACTGATTTATGTAATTTCTACTTCACTTTCCAACATCTCAGACATTTCTAGGTATTAATCTTCTTCCTGTTGGCTTCTCAGTCTTTCCACCCTACTCATCTTCATGTAACTGAAGCTCCAGTGTGTGGTGAAAAAAAGTATCCTCTGTATCACTCTCATATTATTTAGAACACTGCTCAGATGTCATCCTCTCATGTTTGCTGGAGTGGTAGAAGGAGAATGATTAGCTAACTTGATGCACTTTGAAGAACTGTTTATCCTGACATTCCCGGTCACAGTTTTTACGTTCCTCTGCTCAGTGAAACGACACCTTCCCCTTAACTGCGGGCAATCTGCCACTGCAGCTTTTCAGGAAGCCACTAGGAGTCCACACTGAAAAAGGATGGCATCACCTTTACAAATATGTAACTCACAACAGTCCATACCAGGAAAAGTAACCACTTTGATTTCCATTAACTGAAGCACGATCACAAGCATAGCAACCACTAAGACTAGAGGAATAGAGCTTGAAGAGAGAAAAGCCACTAATTGATACAAATTAACAAACAAAGAAATCCAGCTTCCCCCCCCCCCCCCCAAAATATCCCCACCCAAACAACTGCCCTCCAAATTTCACCAGCAGTGTTATCCTGGAGCTTATGCTCTGCTTCCATGGATTTTAGCTCTCATCTCATAGCCTGTACAGTGAACATCCTAAACTGTTCTTCATCCCAGAGGATGCATTGAAGCCTGTCATTACATATGAAAATTAGCAACTTCCTTCGAGGTCAGTTCATGTTTCTTACTATTTCTTTGTCATTCTCTGCACCACCATGGACTAGGGATGCCTAATAGAAAAACCATGTTTCTTTGCTGGGCAACTCATCATGCCAGCCAGAGTACGGCACACAAACAGCCTGCAAGAAATACACTTTACTTTAGTCTGATCTGATTCTTATTGGTTTTTATATGCAAAGTATGTTCTTACCATTGCAATGGTCCAGTACTCAGCTACGTCTCAGCAGAAGGGTAGGGATGAGAAGTTTTGCTCTAGCAGATCGGAGCATCAGCATTTGTTTCCAGCATGTGCTAACATTCCTGGGGAGCTCTCATTTTACACAGAGGCAGCAGAAATGCTGCTGCAGCATAGTGTGAATGTTCCCTGCCAGAACGTTAAGCAGGGTCCACAGGGTGCACTGGTGCCTCCAGCACACCCTGTTCATATGACAGCATGGCTGACAACTGTCCTAACAAGCTGCAGATCCCATGGGGAAGGTTTTTAAATAAAATATCTGGTGTATCAGATAACTCAAAGCAGTATAAAACTGAAATGGAAATAGTGGTAGGTTTGTCTGTGTTATCTGTGAGTTTTTTAAAAAGGACAGGAAAAAAAGGAGAAACCACTGAATTCCTGGAAGAAAAGTCCATCAAGGGCCATGAGGTTCCTGCAGCTCCTCCTCACAAAGTGGGGGCTGTGGGGAGCAAGGTGGGGGGAACATTCTTCATCTTCCTTCAGGACACATCCACACCAAACACCTTAATCCTTCCACCACACAAGACATCAGCCCCTCACTCATACATGCATGGGTGGTCCTCCCTCTGGCAAGGCAAAGCATCTGCTCACCATCAAAACAAAATTACTGTCCACCAGTCCCTGACAACCTTTAAGATTAATCACATTCTACTTGGTGGACTTTTCTCAGGACTGGGAATTATATTTAGGAAGTCCAAGGCTCAGGCACATGTAGTGAAAGCCCTCTAGCAAAAATATAAATAAACTTTCATGATTTCTGCTGCCTGCCTGTAGGCAAAAAGCTGAAGTTCACCTATATCCCCTATTCTATCTGGATCCCATTCTGGTTCAAATCTATAACAGACTGACTAAATGATCCAGAATGGTGAGGAGTTCTCAGAGAGGCTAGAGAAGATTGTCTCACCAGTCAATCCAGCCCTGAATGCCTCTGTAAATCATGAGATTCTAGTGTTCTGCCCACTGAAAGCTCATTCTGGAGTGGCTGCTATGGAGTGCTCATGTGGGCATTACAGAGAACAGACCATAGTTCAACATTTGGTGGGACAGATGACAAGCTGGAGAGATTGAGGGGAGAAATTCTGTTCTACTGGGACCATACCTGCTCAGTTCCCCTTCAGGAGGGGTTTCCAGACCTGCCTTCATATACCATGCACACACCATGTATGGGCTAGAGTAAGGACTGGGAATGACAAAGTCTGGGGAAGGAATGACTGTCCATAGGGCTGTGACCTTCAGCAAGACCTGTAACAGAGTCCATACTACAAGGAAAAGTGGATGAAAGGCAGTTTGTCAAAAGCAGGCCAAGACAGATTAACCTGGCATCTTCTTCAGATAAGACTGTCCAGGCAAAGGAGCTGTGGCATTCCTGATCTAGCTGGGTCAGAACAGCCAGGATCTAGAAAAAATTCAGCAGGAAATCTGCTGTTAGGGTGGAAAACAGGCAGGCACTGAGCACTGGGAGATAGGGAAAAGAGCTTTTCCCACCAGACAGACAATCTGCCAGCTGGTGCCCTTCAGCTAGCAGGGCTGCAGGGGCCTTTGCTGCTCAAAATATTCTGGCAGTGACTGAGACAACAAGGGAATGACAAACATATTTAGCAAGTTCCTCTAGCTGACCTGGCTGGGAAGGCAGCAGCCTCCCTATTTCTTTTCTGTATTAGCCACACGTGTTGTTTGCTCAGTGCTGACAGGGAGCAAGCTTGATGGGAAGCAAATACATCAAAATAAAAAGGGAGATGAACCACCAGAATGATGAGTTTGTGATCAGTGTCCAGCTCAGTATGTCCTCAGAGAAATATTGGCAAAATCCTTGGCACAGGGGAGCCAAATTTGTTTATTTGGGACATTTCCCAAGTCCATATGAAGAGAACAGGCTGTCAAAGGGCAAACCACAGAAAAATGTCCTTTCCTGAGTGAAATGAAGATGTGTTGCACACCCTCAGGTGGCAGTGCAGGTAGCAGGAGAGGTGGGAGGGTGTTTGGTTCAAGGTGGTATGTCAGTGCTGACACTGCTGCCACACAGCCTCAGACCCATCGAGGCTGAGCCACTGCCAGGACAATGCCCTGGGCTGGCACTTAGGTCCTGACATGTCTGTCCCACCTAAAAGCAAGTGGGTGACTCACTAGTGCCCTTTGGGTGCTGGCCAGGGCCAGAGGGAGGAGGAGCTCTGAAAGAAGAACATTAAGCTGGCACATTTTGGAGAGGGAAGAAGCTGAATGACTGGGACTGATGGCAGGCCTGAAACACCATCAGCTGCCTTTGGGGTTTTTGAGGACTCAGCAAAGAGATTGCATATTAGAAAAAGGAGCAAATAGGGTGGCAGAAATGTATGGCAGCTGGGCAGACGTAGTGACCCTGAAGCACATTGTCTCAGGTCTGGAGCAGAGCAAAGGTTTTCTGTATTGGGTGAGTTGAAGCTTGAGAATAACTTGCCCCTACAGTAGACTTGGCTGAGATTGTACAGGGTATTTCTGTGTCATCAGGGTCTTACCTAATGCCAGTACTGTGTTAGCTCGTGAACTCAGCATTATCTTGCCTCTTAGTGAAGTCTTGCAGCACTCCTGTGACTTCCTCTGATGCTCTGAACTCTGTCTCAGGCATTCTTTCTAACAAGCTCTCATCCCACCTCAGAATTTATATATAATAAATAGCATTTACCCCATTGTCACACAGTGGCAATGGATATGGATCAAACCTCAAGTTATCATCTCCTCTCTCATTTTAGCCTTTTAATGTAGTGATAATTCCATTACATGACCTCCAAGGCACTGTGGATCTGATCAGATCTCAGCTTCCAAGGGTGGCTGAAGACCTTCTTGTATACACTGGCCCATCACAATCCCTGTAGTGACAGAGCCTTCTTAAGTGTTGAGAACCACTGGGGTTTCTGGGAGCTTTAGAACTATGAAGATGATGGATATAACCCTATGTCTACATCTCAGTCAGATCTCTCTGTTGTTTACCATGCTGAAACTGTAGAATTGTGCTTTTCTTTTCTTCTTCTTCAATTTTGTTATGGAATACATTTGGTTTTGCACCAAAGTGACGTGCATGATCCTCTGGTGTACAACTACTTGATGCCACATAATGGAAAAATTAATAGTATAAAAATTAGGTTTAGATGTAAAATGTATCAAAGACATTGTCAGTGACTCAGAAGATCTCTAAGCAGCACATCAGAGAGGCTGTGGAAGCATTCTCAGCAGGATCACTACATGCATGTTGTGTTTACATATTCTAACTGGGAACCCTCTCTTGGCAAGTGTCAGAGGAAGGAGCTACAAAGATCTTGATATAGATATTCTTATGTTCATTTATTAAAGAACCTCCCCTGTCCAACCATCCAGGAACCGCTCTCACAGTTACTATCCCACCACCTGAGCTGGGACCAAGGCCCCTTCACAACTGCACCTTCACACTCTCAGTCACACCAGGTTTCCTCACCAGCTGCAGCCCAGGTTTCCCATCATTGAGTCTCAGATGTCCAGGTCCTTAAAATAATGTAGTCATAGTGCAATAACTATCTTGAGCTAGTGCCTCCAAGGAGGGACCCCAAACAAAGGAACCACTGGGTTCTTACCCGTACACAGTCTAAGGGTGGAAAAATCTGGAGCCATCACCTCCTGCCATGTCTCTGAGTGTCCCTCACCTGGCTGGGCCACAGGTCCCCTGGTTCCTGGTTGTGCAAAGGGTCTGCAGTTCACAGTCTCTGGCCTTGGGCTGGAGCTCCTGCTCGTCCAGAGCTCAACCTGCAGCTCCTCTCCAGCTGCACCCCAAGAAACACACCCCAAATGTATCCCCCCACACATCCCTACAATACACACAACCACGAGGACTCAAATGTTCCAAGGGGACTTCCACAGGGCCGGAGACAAGCATTCCTGGGACATTTCCACAACTCAGTGTGCTCTAAAATGTGGCCTCTTGTTTTCAGACTCTTCTGAATAATCACAGAACACAGCTGAGGAGCAGTGGGATCACAGGTTGTGGCAGAAAGTGAGGCAGGTGCTGGAGTGGCTCTAGATGGCAACTGGCTCTAGGTGGCCCTGCTCATGGAGAGGAGTGGGACCAGGTTTTGTCATTCTGTGATTTTATTCTCATCAAGAGCCTGTCTTCAGGATGCCTGAATTCCATTTCCTGCGTGGAGAACATCACACTCCAGTGTGATTTCCCAAGTGCTTTTCCCAACTCCATTGCTTTTCCCAAGCTGCATTTCTGTACAGAGCAGACTGTTTCCATACACATCCTTCATTCTGTCCTGTCTTGTTCAGCTGGGCTGTGTTTTGCTTCCAGCATTGATGGAACCCAGCCCTGCAGAGATATTTAGATACAGGAATGAAAGAAAAATAATGTTAGGCAGGAACTACTTATTTTTCTTTTTGCTACAAAATTTTTGTCATTCATTACATATTTTCCATAAGGAAGGACTGATGCACTATTTAGGCACCCTTTTCCTAGGTGCATTTGATAGACATGGTAAGTCAGTGCTGCTCCAGCACTATCCCACTGTACTCAATTAATAATTCAAGTGGAAACAGGAAGAAGTAGTGGTAATTATATTTCAGTACAGTAACAGTGCAGAGTCCTCTTAAACATTTAATTTAACTCCTCCACTTAACAGAACTGTAAGATGAAACATTGCTCAAATTAATGCATCAGTTTTAAGTGATAAATATCAGACTTTTTTTTTTCCTTTTTCAGTAGGTTTAGAAAAAAAACCCTAAATACTTGTCATGTCAGTGGGAGGTGTCACAAATGAACCTGACTTGACATTTCAGCCTCACTGAACTGCTTAAAGCTGGCAGTGGCAGATGTTTGTAAAGACTGAAACTTGAGCTGAACCCAAAGAAACACTTCCTCAAGATGAGGTGTGCTGAAATGGCAAATTTGGTCTGCATGCAGTAGGACATCTCATTTTTCTCCAACACCTTCCTTCCAAGACTGAATGAAAATGAAGAGCAGAGGGAAGAACAAGGAGAACAAAATCACCTTTTTCCGCTCAGTAGACTGTCACAGTTATTTTAGCAATACCTAAGCTTATCCAATGGAGAGTGTGCTGGTTTTGGCTGAGGTTGAGGTAATTTTCTTCAGAGTGGCTGGTATGGGGCTGTGTGTTGGGTTTGTGCTGAACTCAGGGTTGATGATACAGACTTGCAGTGCAGGGCTCACAAAGAGCCAAGGACTTTTCTGCTCTTTGCTTGCCCACCTTGTAATCAGGAGTGCCTTTGCTCTCCTGCAGCCTCCAGCCACTTCTGCTAATCACCATGATAGATTAAAGATTATCAAGAGTGAGCCATCTCCCTCAGTACTTTGTGAGTGTATCCCTTCAAGGACTGTGGACTTCTGTGTGTCCAGCTTGTTGAAGTACTCCTTGACCTGTTCCTCTCCCATCAAGGCTATGACTGCCTTGTTCCAGACTTTCTTCCTGCTCTCTGTGCCCTAGGTTTCCCAAAGGTCTTACTACCACAATTAGGTACCTCAAACCTTTCCATGTCATGTGCTAGCAGGGCTCTAACCCAATTCAGCATTGGCCTCACATTTTCCTTCTCCTTGAGCGGGGAGAAGAGAAAGTTCTGGGGAGACCTCATTATAGACTTCCAGTACTTAGAGGGGACTTATAGAAAAGAGGGAGAATGACTTTTTTGCACAGGCAGATAGTGATTGGACAAGGGGTAACAGTTCTTGGTAAAAGAGGACAGTTTTAGATTAGATATTAGGAAAAAATTCTTTACTCAGTGTGTGGTGAGGCACTGGCACAAGTTGCCCAGAGAAACTGTGAATGCTACAGAGATGAAAGCGTTGAAGGCCAGGTTGGACAGGGCTATGAGCAACCACATCTAATGCATGGAATCCTTTCCCATGGCAGGGGGGTTGGAACAAGATGACCTTCAGGGTTCCTTCCAGCCCAAACATTCTATGACTATAGGATTCAATCCCATTTAGGCTTTGACTTTTCTAACCTCGTCCCTGGTTGCTAAGACAGTGTCTCTTAGGTTCCTCCCAGGTTACTTGTCCTTGCTTCCAGTGTCTGTATTCTGCCTTTTTGTGTCTTGAGTTTTGCCAAAAACTCCTTTTTCATCCCTTCAGTCCTCCCAGAATATTTACCTGGATTCTTGCTGTATCCTGACCATGCACCTCAATAAAGGCAAACAGTAAAATTACCCATAATTTTCTATAGTTTCTCATGTCTGAGTGCAACATGTTTGATCTCTGACAGCTAAGGATTAAATACTTCTGGCCTTGAAAAAAGCATGTCTAGATATCTCAAGAATGACAAAGAAATTATTCTTGGTGGAATAAGTAAACTGAAGATAGCTGTGAGAAAAGTTTGTGATACTTACACTGGAGAAAAATAATATTGATGAGCACAAAGTTATACATTTAGGAAAAGCAGCCCTAACTATCAAATATAGTGATGGGCACTGTTCAGCTCTCTGTTGGTGAGGTATTAACACTGCATGGTGTCAGATCTTGGGAGAAGGAAGGTAGCACTAGAAATTATGGGGGATAATGTCAGAGCTAATTAGAATTAAATAATTATTTCCATATGTGATTTTCCATATCTCCTGTGTTATTTAGAAAGGTATCGTTCACTTTTTTCCTATTTTGGGAAGAAATAAGGATTTACAAGGAAATAAGCACCACCAAAGTAAAGAATTTTTCAATTAATTAATTTAAACTGTAAATATCATTGCCAGAGAGCTCTTTGGATGCCAAAAACTAAAACTGGTCTTCAATTGATTGCATCAAAGGAACAACAATCTAGCAGACTCTTGAACCCACTCATGGATCCTGCTATGAAGCTCTAAACTCAGGATTTCCAGAATATTATGATATGCAGATGAATGCTGTTTTATATTTATATCCAGAGGTGGAATACAACTTAAAGAGCACTTAGAATGGTTAAAGGTGGCTATTCTCCCTGATATATTGCACTATATTATGTTACAACTGACAGAAGTGAAACAGAGTAATACGTAATAATCTGACTGAGGTAAGCAATGCAGACAACAGTGAAATCCACATATCATATCCAAGATCTGTAAGAAGAGAGCTCTGTGAAAGGATGACTGTCATCAGACATATGATGTCCTCAGAAAAAGCTGAAGTATGCATCCAAATGTCACTGTGCTTGTCCAGGGAATGGCTGTCCCTTGCTCCCTTAGCTCAGATTCATGGAGCATCCATGGCCTTACAGTTATTAGTGGTTACCCTCATTCCTCTAGTCATCATTAGCTGTATTTCCCTCCTCAGGAATCGTCTCATATTATTTATAGGCGATTTATTCACATAGCAAGGAAGATACCAAAATTTTCTAATTATATCTAGTAATATCACTTTCCAGTTTTCAATACATTCAGTTTGCCAGACAATGCTTTGCCAAAAACAAGGTTGGCCAAAAATACTTTGCCCAAAGACAGAGGAGGCATCTTCAGCATGCACTGACCAGACCCTATAAAAGAGTCCTTGAATCTGGGCTGCTCTGTCTGCAGAGGAAGCTTCATGGTAAGTGCACGTCGGTGGTTGGCAGAAAGGGACAGTGTCCCTGCAGTCCCACTTCAGCCCTGCTGTCCTGATGTATGTCCATGTACCTGGAAGGATTTGACACCTGTATGATAAAGCATGTTGGTATTTCCACTTTGCGACCTGGAATTCTGCACAGTAATAATGAGACATCTGCTGTTTCTGCTTTACAGCACCGATCACCTCCCAGCCTGCAAGGAATCTTCTCATAGCATAAGAGGTAAGAGCCACATTTGCTCCCATTTAAGGGACAGAAAAAGCTGAAAGATTTCTGTAGAACAGATTTCTTCATGGTGACAAATTACTGTAAAATTCTGTAGGGAGTTGCTGTGTGCCCATGTGTTCCTGGCCACTGCTCTGCTATGACAAATAAAGCATGCTGATGGTTGGACAGGCTGCTCACAGCCAGCAAGATTTCCTAAGTGGCTGTGCTTGAAGACAGTAGCCACTATGTAATGCCAGGAAATGCTTCTTGGGGATTCCTTCTGTTTAATTATGGAACAGTGAGGTAAATGATCTGTTCTGGCAGGAAGTCCAGACAGGCAGAGCTAGCCAACAGAACAGAATGTTGCAAAACCTTATAGACTTGTAATTATTGCTGCATATGAAACTGGCAGTTTCATATAAATGTTATAAAAATACTTTCCAAATGATATTTCAGGGTCATAATCTGCATGTAGGCCTCCTACTAGTAAACTTGATAAAAATGCAAAAATAGCTGTCCAACTAACCAAACAACTAAAAGGGGGAGGTACTGCTCCAATTCCTCTGGAAGACGACTGGGTAAAATGGAGGATCTGCATGCTACTAGGAGTAGCTGCAAATGTTTGTTAACATTTTGGTTATTTACCTAACTAAAAGTTATGACATGACATCTTTTCAAGCTGCCTGTTTGTCTAACTTCCTTGGAATTCAGATCCTTTCTATTACTGCCCACATAGTATTTCTTTGGAAATCCAGTACTGCATTCAGATACCTGGCTTTGATTTATAAATTCTTCAGCTGAGGTTTCTAGCTTTGCCTATAGTTATTTCCACAAACAATTAACAATTAATAAGAAGAAACAGTTGGTTGTCCAGTATTTTAACCTGATGAATTATGTGTCCTTACATGCCAGTTGCTCACATACTACTTAAGTAATTTGGGATGGGAAGCAAACAACTCTAGCGAATGATTCAGAGCATCAGCAAAAGACATTATGCTAGTCCTCAGAACACGTTCTGGACCATTAGCAACCCAAATAATCCATGGAATGCATCCTCAGGAACTTTAGATGACAACAGAGACTTGCAATTATGCTACAGAACAATGTTACCCCGGAGAAGATCCTCATATGACTTCATCCTGAAGCTGCTGAGAACCTCACAAATTATAGAAAAGGCAGTGTAAAATCCTGCAAGAGAGAAAGAATAGTCTCATGCAGTGTATGTTGTACTTCATTTTGGAAAACAGCTTTGCAGAAAAAGGTCATGAATTCTGGTGCAAGTGTCACAGTGTGACTTTGGGGGAAGGAAGGTCAGCAGCACATTGCCAGACACTCATAACATGGGTCATCAGGTAAAGACAAGTGTTTCTTTCCCTGCATTCAGCAACCATATCTAGAGCAATATGTTCAGTTTGACGCTTTCTGCTGACCAGACAGTGACATTCTGGAATGAATCCAGTGGAGATCTATCAAGATAAGTAGGAGAAAATTATGGATGAGAAGAGGCTGCAATGGTGAGGTTTGTCTACACTGGGGATGAAATTAAAATGAGGTTATCTTATTGTTATCTTCAACAAAAAGGAGATGGTTATATCATGGAAAGAGTCAGACTCTTCTCAAACGAGCAGAGTGAAAGGCTGAGGGATAAAAAAAGCCAGTTTCAGCCACAGAAATTTTGATTAGGTAATAAACAGGGAAAATCACCATCAGGATCATCAGACATTAAACTGGAATGCAGAGGGACTGAGAAATGTTTGTTCTTGGATATAATAAAAACTTCAGTAGAAAAAGCTGTGGGAACCTGCATCCAACGTTTGCCCTTATTGTACAGGCAGGTGAACCAGAGAACTACTCAAGATTCTTCAAAATCACACTTTCCATTGCACTGTTAGGATCTATCAATGAAGTGTGTGATAACAAAAAGTACTGACTAATTTGGGTAACAAATCTTCTCTTTGACAGTGTTCTCTGCTCTGGCAAGCATCACCATAGAGTGCAGCCATGTCGTCAGACGCTGAGATGGCCGTCTTTGGGGAGGCCGCTCCTTACCTCCGAAAATCGGAAAAGGAGAGAATTGAGGCCCAGAACAAACCTTTTGATGCCAAGTCATCTGTCTTCGTGGTTCATGCAAAGGAATCCTTTGTGAAAGGGACAGTCACAAGCAGGGAATCAGGGAAAGTCACTGTCAAGACTGAAGGGGGAGAGGTGAGTCAAAAACAAGGCTGAAGGACAACATTTGCTTCCCTCACTGAGTTCTTAGCTGATATGTGAGGATCTTTTGTTTCCTTGGCAGACCCTGACGGTGAAGGAAGATCAAATCTTCTCCATGAACCCTCCCAAGTATGACAAAATCGAGGACATGGCCATGATGACCCACCTCCACGAACCCGCCGTGCTGTACAACCTCAAAGAGCGTTACGCAGCCTGGATGATCTACGTAAGTGGCAGCAGCAGCTTCCTTTAGGCAGCCTCAGCAACTGCTGGGCCAGGCTCAGGGGAAGCCAACGTGCTGTGTCCCTTCCTCACAGACCTACTCGGGTCTCTTCTGCGTCACTGTCAACCCCTACAAGTGGCTGCCGGTGTACAACCCCGAGGTGGTGTTGGCCTACCGAGGCAAGAAGCGCCAGGAGGCCCCTCCACACATCTTCTCCATCTCTGACAACGCCTATCAGTTCATGCTGACTGGTGAGTGCCTCTGACTGCCGCAGAGGCATTGGACCATTGAAATCTCTGAAGGGATTCTCTGTCTCAGCAAAGTGAAGAGACTTTTGCAAAGCTTTCTTGG